TGTGGCCGTTATCTGATAATCGTCCAAAGTTGAGGGTTGTTTTTTATATGTGACCTAATTTTTACCCATAATCAAGGTAAAAGGAGATTTATGATAAATAAAAAAAAGGAAGAAATAGATTAAAGTTTTATAAAAGTCAACAATAGAGACTCTAGAGTTTCTTACTATTGCAATATACAATGAAGTATTTATTTTGTTTAGCAATCTGGCATTTTGCGCAAATCTTGTTATGCCAAATTAAAGGTATAGGCATTTTGCCAATGATGGTAACCCCCATTTCGAACTGATATGATGATTTGGGTCTAATTTAGAATTATGAAGATTTGAGGAATTAATATAGAATTAACAAAGTTTTGGGGGGGTCTAATATAGCAATATGACCCAATTTTATTTCTTTGATATGCAATTAACTGCAGATTATTTTTGCAGAACCGAGCCCTGTCTCTATTGAACCATCTCCAGCCAAAGAAGAGTCTCCACTTATTTCAGAGCTTGATTTTCCTCCATTAGATATGGGAGCTCTCCTAGCTACACAAACCGCTCCTTTTGAGTTCTCAAAGGTAGTTATTTCTACACATTTCATCTTTTAGAATCAACATTCACCATCAAACTGATGTTATTTCTTTTTTCCATTTTAGTTCTTCGAAGGAATGGATGATGATGGAAGTGAGTATCGTCATATTCATTTCCCCTTTCCTTTGTAAATTTCATAGTTTCTCTTGCCTTATATATTGGATTATCTTGCAGATATCACAAGCACAGGAAACAAGAGCAATGTAAGCAGGCCCTCAGTGAAGAAAGACAATGTAGAGGTCACAAGGCAGGAAGTACCGAAGGCCTCAAAGCCAACAGATACCACCCATAAAGCACCAAAGAATAAGGAAGACAAACATCCTGTATCAGAAAGCAATACCCAGCGAAGGCAAAAGTCTCAAGAACATTCTAGAGAGTTCCGGAATCAAGAAGCAGGATTTAGAGTATCAAAGCCTATTGATGCTTCTCATAAGACATCAAAACCTTCAGAAAGAGGTACTGCTCATAATAACACTCAGCAGAGGCAAAAACCTTCAGGGGTTCCATCAAAGCCCTGCACTTTTAAGAAAGATGTAAGCACAACAAGCTATGAAATATTAAAATATTAGTACATCGTAGAAATTATATTTTTATTTTAGACTCATATCTTCATTTGTTTTCTAGGCATTAAAGGAGTCTGAGGAATCAGATTATAGAATTAAGCTGGAAGTTGCAAAGAGAAAGCTTCAAGATCGGTATCAAGAAGTGCAGGATGGTATGTTGCCTTCTTTTATTTTTTTTATTCTTTTTAGGATAATTTCACAAAACTAACATCAATTACTAGGGGTTTTGCACAAAAAGACGACAATATTTTTTATTCAAATATACCATAAACGTTTTCCATTTATGACTGACAAATGATGGTGTAAATTCTCATGTGATACGCATGTGACATATTTTGGACATATCTTAGACTTTTTGAAAACACTATAAGCGACTTTAAGGTTAGTTTTTGATAGTATTGTTGTATTTTTCAACAGATTTCAAAGAATGTAGTATTTTCTATAGTGGAAACGGTTTATGATAGTTTGTGCATAACGCTCTAATACTTCGTTGTAGTTTTGTGAAATTTACCCTTCTTTTATTGGTATGTAAAGATGATAGTAACAATTTTGAAATACAGCGAAGAGGCAGCGGACGATTCAGGTGATGGAGCTCAAAGATCTGCCGAGGCAAAGCCAAAACAAGATTCAACAGCCTGTGATAAAGCGTGGCAAATTTTTCAATAGAAGTGCAAACAAGAAGTCTAAATAAGCATATAACATTCTGTGATTTTTGCATAACATTCTGTGATTTTTGCATAAATGCAGCCAAGAGGACCTCCATTTTTTTTGTGGCCAATTGGTAGAAGGATCGATACTTGTACAATTAGAAAGAGAGACATTAGTTGAAATTGCTGGAACATATACAAAATATGGAGCCTGGTATAATTTTGCCAGGCCAAAATTTGATGCGTCTGACATTGTATATATGATTTTATGTTGCCATTAATACATTCCTTCTTTGTTCATATGTATGTTTAACAAACCGCATTTCACCATATAATGCAATTATGTGGGTAATTTTTACGCTAAATATCAGAAAACCCTCTTTACTTTGGACGATTATGTGGCCGTTATCTGATAATCGTCCAAAGTTGAGGGTTGTTTTTTATATGTGACCTAATTTTTACCCATAATCAAGGTAAAAGGAGATTTATGATAAATAAAAAAAAGGAAGAAATAGATTAAAGTTTTATAAAAGTCAACAATAGAGACTCTAGAGTTTCTTACTATTGCAATATACAATGAAGTATTTATTTTGTTTAGCAATCTGGCATTTTGCGCAAATCTTGTTATGCCAAATTAAAGGTATAGGCATTTTGCCAATGATGGTATTTGATAATAATCATAATCCTTCGACCATGGTAGATAAATTCTACTTCCTTAATTTCGATGAAGCCATCCTTTTGAAATACATTCACACAACTTTTAAATGTTTATAATTTTTCACCAGCACATGATATAATAATCTAACGAAAATGCCATTTGGCACGCGAGATAGGTTGCGCGCCCATCTTACGTGCCAAATAGCAAGGCTATCCATGGGATCTGTCAGTGCACCTAGACCCAAAAGAAATCTGTATAAAAGCTATCCATGGATGTACCTTCCCAATGTCCAAAAATAATGTGACAAGTCTCTTGCATCTACATAAGAGAAGACGTACAAAAATCCTAACAAATCACGTTCATAATTTTCCTTCATTAAAAATTCACTCATTCTCTCTTTTACTCTTCTTCTTCTTTTTTACCCTTGGGGGGCTATCTGCAACAAATAATCTAGAGAGTTAATAAGTTCAAAAAAAGTGATACCACAGGGATATCTATCCATAATTAATTAACTCTAAAAAAATGTTCGCATTAATGTCGAAGCAGCGGAGGGGGTTTAAATTCATCCTCACATACTCAGGGGGATACAGTCAAATAAATTTGATTCAGTTAATTTGTACTATCTTTATCTTGAAGAGAACATCCTCTTGGAAATACATGCACTCAACTTTTGTATGTTTACAATTGTTTAGACCAAATAGTATATAAGATATACTCATCTATAATTAATTTCAAGAATTGCCAATGCACTTAGACCCAAAAGGAACATGCTATTCATGTTATCTACCTAGCCTACATGTCCAGAAATAACTTGACAAAGCTCTTGCATCTAAGCAATAGAGGATTTACAAAAATCTTAACAAGATGCACAAAAGTATATCAAATATTCATCAAGTTCCTTTAAAATTTCTTCAGTCCTCACTCTCCTTTGTTCTTTTCTTCTTCTTCCTTTTTCACCCTTCTTTTCCTTTTCTTTTTTGTCTTTGCATTCTAATGAATGGCCATCAACTTACTACTATATCAGATATTTCTCAACTCTATAGAGAATGTAGAATTGGCAGAGATCAGGTTCCAGGCTCAGGATTCAGGTTGTCAGGGTGGCGGTCGACCGGCCCGGTCGACCGCTTTCGTGCACGTCACTTACTGTGCTTCAGGATTGGTGGCGGTCGACCGGAGCAATTGGAGAGATTGAGAGTTGATTGTTGAGGGTTTATGAGAGATTTGTAACTCTAGTTTGTTCCTCTTGATTTCTAATAGTGAAAACTCCCCCCTCCTTGCCCCGTGGACGTAGGCATCTTGTCGAACCACATAAAATTGGTGTTTGGTTGTTTGTGCTATTGATTTGGTTGGTTCTTTATCTTTTTCGGCGATTGGTTTGTTTTCTCGAGGCACAACAATTGGTATCAGAGCTCCGGGCTACGCTTGGGCTATTTTGGAGGAGTAGATCGCTTTGGAAGTTCATCTAGGGCTTCGTTTGGTGATAAAGGTGGGATCTTTTCAGTAAAAATCTCATCTTCTTTTTCAATTTGGATCTATTTCTCGTTTGTTTCCGCATTGGTTTGGTGGTGCTTTGAGATATATGGCTGAAAAAGATAAAAGTGGGGAGGGTTCTTCTGGTGTGAAGGCCGTCCAAAGTTTGAATATACATTCTATGAAAATAGATGTGAAAAAGTTCAACGGCACAAATAATTTTAGACTTTGGCGATGTGAAGTCATGGATGCGCTAAATACGCAAAATTTGGAAGATACATTGTAGTTGGACGGGAAACCGGTCGACGTTGATGAAAATGTTTGGAATAAGATGAATAGAACGGCGTGTGGTGTGATTAGGTCTTGCCTTACCCAAGACCTTAAATATGATGTGATGAATGAAACTTCGGCAAAGAAGATTTGGGAGGTCCTAGAGGGCAAATATTTGACGAAGAGCGTCGAAAATCGTTTGCATTTGAAGAGGAGGCTTTATCACTTCTAATTGAAGAGGGGGACATCCATTAGTGATCACATGAACCACTACACGAAGCTACTTACAGATTTGGCGAATGTAGATGTCATTGTTGAAGACGAGGACAAAGCACTGTTGTTATTGAGTTTCTTGCCCGACGAGGAATATGAGACCTTCGTCCTCACTCTTATTAATGGGAATGCATCTCTTTCGTATAGTGAGGTCACCTCAGCCCTTGTGAATTATCAACTTCGAAAGAAGGACAAGGAGACTTCCATCGAGCCGGTTGCGGGGGCATTGGTTGCAAGAGCTAAAAGTCCAAACCGTGGAAGAAGGTCGCAGTCTAGAGGGGGGCATCCTGCAGTTGGTAGGAATCAGTGTGCCTTTTGTAGAGAGGATGGACATTGGAAAGCCGAATGCCCAAAATTGCAAGCTGTGAAGAATAAAGGGAAAGCTATTCAAGCTTCAGAGGTAAATATTGCCAAGGCTAGTGGCGATGTTTCAGATTCAGATTCTTCGGGCTATTCGTGCCCAGCTCTTCCGTCAGTTGATGTTGCCGACTCCACCGAGTGGATGTTAGATTCTGGTGCTACTTACCACATATGCCCTAGAAGGGATTGGTTCTCCAGCTTTCAGGAGTTGGAAAGAGGGGATGTTATTCTCATGGGTAATGAACACAGATGCCATATTGGTGGTATTGGTACCGTTCGGATTCGGATGAGTGACGGGATGATCCGGGAGTTGGCTGATGTGAGGTTCGTTCCTCAACTGAGGAAGAACATCATTTCACTTGGGGTATTGGAGGCATCAGGCTATAGGGTGACCTTGGCGGATTCTCGCTTGAAGGTCACATCGGGGTCCATAATTGTGATGAAGGGAGTCAGGCGGAGTAACTTGTATTATCTACTTGGGAGCACGGTAGTTGATAGGGCGCTGACTACTTCTATGGCTAGACTGTGGCATTGTTTGGTGCTGGGATATATTATTGGTTATACCGTGCATAGATTGTTGAGGAGTGCTATGACCTGCAGATTGAAGTCCTGTGAGCACATTGGTATGAGCGAGAAGACCGAGGTGGAGTTCAGCACTTCTATCCATCGATCGAGAGGTCTTATTGGAGGTGTTCAGTCAGGCATTGGGGGGCTTTCCGAGGAGGCATCATCGGGAGGTAATCGTTATTTTGTTTCCTATGTTGGGGATTGTACTAGGCATATTTGGGTTGCAACCAAGTCCCATTGGTATAAAGACCTAGTAGTCCGTAACAGTTGGAGGAGGTGTATGGGCAGAAAGGTTACCAGTCGTACTTGTTCTAGTAGGAGTCCTTTCTTGCATTGGTGCCGAGCTCATGGCATTTGGAGACACTTCAGAGTAGAGGAGACAATGGGGTGACGTGATGAGATGGCAGATATAGTGGGCCGTTCTTTGCTGGAGGAGGATCGGTATTGGTTGTCGAGCAGTGGATCTGGTATTTGGGCTTCGACACGATTGGGCTATCTTATGAGGTTGCCGACTGCTGCGTATAGAGTTGTTAGATCTGGTGGAGCTGTTTCAGATTTTGGTCGGCGTCGAATATTTGGCTACCCAGCACTTGGTCACATCGTTGATGTGAGGTTGGATCTGATTGCGCAGTTGGGATTCAGGAGTTCATTCGGCTATCAGTTAGGAGCTTCTGAGTTTGGTCTGAGCAGGTTTGTCACTTTGAACTCTCGACAGGTGGAGAGTATTGATCAGGTCAGAGGGATATTGCAGCGGGTGGAGGTTGATGCTACTCCACATTGGGTGAGGATTTTCCCACATACTCCAGGTCATTCTGCATTGGTTGGGATTCCAGCTGAGGTGGCACAGCGTGAGAGTCATTTATTTATGGGTGCAGATGATGAGGTGGTTGATTTGGATGCAACTGGTGGATATGTTTTGGATACGACCATTGTTACATCTCAGGTGGAGGTATTGGACTATTTTCAGTTTGGGGTCGTTGATGATGCTATCAGCCGCAAGTTGGATTGAGGGCCTTTTGGAGGCCATTTGGTGAATTACGTGAAGGCTTGATTCCTTGGGCAAGAGGATACGTAGGCAGTCTTTATGATGTAGCCGATTTGGTGAGCGACATCGACATTTGCGGTGAGTGTTCACACTCCCACTTGGGTCTCAGCAAGTGAGGCATTTGGTGTAGTCGGTGTAGGCTCAGTTCGATTTGGTCAGTAGACACAGTTGGTTTGGGGTTGAGTGTTCACACTCCCGTTTGGATCTCGACGTGTTGTGATTGGAGTCTGTTGTCATGAGTCCGTTGCCATGGCGTACTGGGTGCAACAGTTGAGGCATTGGTTTGTTTGGTGTCGGCTCAGATTTGGGAAATCTTCGCCGAGGTGGAGATTTGTAGAATTGGCAGAGATCAGGTTCCAGGCTCAGGAGGTTTTGAGTTGGGCCTATTTTTCAGACCCGTTTCGTTTTGGATTTGTATAAATACCCTTTGGGTGTTTTTTAGGGTTAAGAGCAAGGACGAATTTGAGCAGATTGAGAGAATTTTCTTTGGGCTTCTATTCTATGAGCAATTGGAAAGATTGAGAGTTGATTGTTGAGGGTTTATGAGAGATTTGTAACCCTAGTTTGTTCCTCTTGATTTCTAATAGTGAAAACTCCCCCCTCCTTACCCCGTGGACGTAGGCATCTTGCCGAACCACGTAAAACTGGTGTTTGATT